TATATATATGCTAAGCACAACTATACACCCTTCCTCTTTTCTATTATCACTAAAAATACAGGGAGTCAGATTTCGATAAGCCACACCTGAAGCACAGCTTAAGAACAGTGATGGAGCGAAAGGGGTTTAAGCCTCTTTTTTTTTTCTTTAAATTTGCCAGCCATTTGACACTTCTCTCTATAGCAGCTGTTCACTGGTGGGCATCTTTTTTTTTAAAATTGGAGTCCTTGTCTCTTTACTGCTCAGTGTGAAGCAAGTAGTGCCTGAATTACATTCACTCAGGTGCTTTGAGCTGAAGGCTGTGTGGCAGTCATATCGTTTTGTCTTGTACATGTTTTCAAGGCAGAATTTCTCCTAGACAGCCAATACTTGTACAAGCTCTAGCATAAAGTTATATTGCCTTGATTATGTAGGTCTCACTGGAAAATAGTGAATCATCCTATTTCCTATGGCAGGTTGTTGCTAATGCCAAGGATGTAGTTGTTGGAGCCAGAGAAGCTGTAACAACCACTGTGACTGGTGCCAAGGAAACTGTTGCTCACACAATCACTGGAGTTGTGGGCAAAACTAAAGAAGCAGTGCAAGACAGTGTAGAAATGACCAAGTCAGTTGTCAATGGCAGCATTAACACTGTCCTGGGAAGTCGTGTGGTGCAAATGGTGAGCAGTGGAGTTGACAGTGCTCTCACTAAATCGGAGACCCTTGTAGACCAGTATCTCCCACTTACAGAAGCAGAACTAGGTAAGACCAATTCAAGGTTTGATTTTGTTGGAATACTTGTACGGGAGAGAAGCAAGCAATCATCCATTTACTACTTACTCATAGTGGGGAGGGGGCACATGTTTCTCAAACTGCCATTTGCCTTGCTGGTTGTAATGGCATCTTCACAGGGAAGCAGAGTAAAAGTAGATTTCCATGTATGGTGGTCTGTCAAACTACCCTGGTGCTAAAGGACTACTAAACAAATCCAGTATTCAGCTGTTACTAACCAAGTCAAATCACTTCAGACTGCTTAAGTTTTCTTTCAGTAGTCAATTTGCTTCCTTTCTACATATCTAGAGAAAGAAGCTGCAAAAGTTGAAGGTTTTGAAGTTGGAGTTCAGAAGCCAAGCTACTATGTTAGACTAGGATCCCTGTCTTCAAAGGTCCGCACACGTGCCTACCAACAAGCCTTAAACAAAGTTAGAGATGCTAAACAGAAAAGCCAGGAGACAATCTTTCAGCTCCACCACACTGTTAGTCTGGTAAGTTTAAGCTTTCACCTGAGGTATAAAAAGCAACTGTTGGCATAGTTTTAGAGTGCAGAAAACAGCCAAAAGAGGCATAGGAAAACTGGAATTGTGCTCTCAGACTAAATGCATTTTCTAAATATAAAGCATTTCCCATTCAGAGCTTTTCACCACCATTGAGAAGAGGTCCTACATCAGGCTGAGCTGCTGAATTGTAACCAGCAATTGCTTGCAATTTTAAGCACTGCAGAAATAGAAGTGACATCCTTAAAATTATATTCCTCAATTAGAGTGCTGGGTTTGACACAGACTTCATTCTAAATTGCAAGACACTTTCTTCACTGAAACACTTCAGTCCTTTAAAGTCTTTTTTTTGTTAATATTGGGTTCTTTATGGGCTTGCTATTCTTGCTATAGGTATCTCTGAGCATTTCTGGGTACTTCAGTAGTCTTATCTTTACAACATACCTTATACCTACAGGACAAACTGCATAAAGAGTCATGGCCTTCTATACACTTTCAAATATTTGTATAGAATGCTATTGGGGGAGAGGGAAATAGTTGATGGAGAGGGATATACTACATATCTCGAAACTGCTTCTAGTTTTCTCCTTTTTGAGAAAGAACACAATCTTATATTCCCCAAAGGCTTTTATGCTGAATTTTTGAAGTATTTAAAAGGGAGGTTTACAAAGCAGGTAAGGTAGGGTAGCTCTAATGGAACTGTTTGTTATTTGGCTGTATTTCAGATTGAGTATGCCAGAAAGAACATGAATAGTGCCAATCGGAAACTTCTTGATGCTCAAGAAAAGCTTTATCAATCCTGGGTAGAGTGGAAGAAAAAAACAGGCCAAAATGTTGGTGATGAACCACATAGCGCTGAGGTAAATAGATGTAAATGTAAACCAGATTTAAATTAATTATATACTGTCAGGGCAGTAACATACTACCAGTATCCAAAGTGTACAGCATCTTAACAGCACAGAAGTTTATGTGTACTTGTGGAATCTAAGTGCTGAAGCTCAGGGCAGCTGACCACTATGTAATGTAAGGGACACCCAAACTCTTAATTGAGCCTGCTTCCTGCAAATGCTCTGGGGTTCATTCTCCTTTCATGAGAATGCTGATGCTGTTTAGGATGTGAACCTATGTTGGGATATCCATATCTAGATCAGCTAGGACTCCCTTACCCGATATGGCCAAACCAGTAATAACAGTTTGTCAACATAAAGCAGTCTTAGGCACAGACTCACTGAATCTTATATGTAGCTTTAAACAGTGGTCCATTGATTAGAATGTACTTACCTGCTGTGACTTGTTATGCAGAGTTGAGACAAGAGCTTGCTTATCTGTTGCTGGGTAGATGCTACCAATGTTTCTGTTCCACAAAGTACTTGAGCACTGAAGAAATATCAAGCACTTTCAAGTTCCTGACTCTTTAGACTTAGGACCTGTTTTATTATCTACTATAGCTGTATTTTACTTGCATCACATTTATTTTGCTTCTTTATGTATCTTTAGCAATATAAAGCTGCTACAGTAATGAAAATATATTAATATGCTGTAATACTTTTTGTTTCCAGCACATTGAGTCAAGAACTCTAGCTATTGCACGGAGCCTCACTCAGCAGCTTCAGACCACCTGCCTCACACTGGTCTCAAGCCTACAGGGGCTGCCACAGAATGTGCAGGATCAGGTTTACAGTGTTGGGTCAATGGCAGGTGATGTCTACCAGAGCTTTTGGTCAGCATCCTCCTTCCAAGAGTTATCAGACAGCTTTCTTACCACTAGCAAAGGACAGCTGAAGAAAATGAAGGAGTCTCTGGATGATGTGATGGATTATCTTGTTAACAACACGCCGCTCAACTGGCTGGTAGGTCCCTTTTACCCACAACTGCCTGGCATTCAGCATGCTGAGAGCAAAGGTGAAGGGGAGGAAAAATCCAGCCAGAAAGACAAACAGCCTGAACACACTGATGAATAAACTGCATAGCATGCATATATTCTGCTGACTGACCAAACAAGTGGCCTTAGCAAGTGTAGCTGTCAAAAGCCTTGGAGCAAAATCCATAAACATAGAAGTGGGGGAATGATACAAAGGAAGGACACTCTCACACATTGGCTGTATTGTTCTGTGTAGTTGAGCCACTCCAAAAATTCAGACTGTCTTGAGTGCCTAAATATTGACAGCTTACAGTTGACAAGATGCCTTGTTTGTTCGTCAAGAAACCTCACCAAGCTTATTAATGCTATTAATACCATTAGTCTAAGAAACCTAACATAGCTAAAAGCATTAGATTTATTGCTTAATCTGTACTAGTGATGTGAAAGCCTTACGTACTACAAAATGCATTTAAAAGACCTACAGTCTAGCTACGCTTAAATTTCATGTTTGCTGCAGAGTCATGCATTTGATTATTACAGATCTGACTGTTTCAAATTCTACTGGTACACAATTCATGACAAAAGTGTTTGGAGTGCAGAATTCCAAAGCTGAAAGTGGGGTTTCTGAATGAGTCAGCTGGAGTTACTTAAATGCTATGACAGTGTATTATTAACTATATAATCTTAAGTACTGTATAACACAGTAACATGACCATAGAATCACAGAATATCTCAAGTTGGAAGGAAGCCATAAGGATCATCAAGTCCAACTCCCTGCTCCTTGCAGGACTGCTTAAAAGTAAAACACATGACTCAGAGCATTGTACAGATACAACTTGAACTCTGACAGGCTTGGTGCCACGATCACTTTCCTATGGAGCCTGTTTCAGTGAATGACCAAATCATTATCCATACATGTTTTTAACATGCAGTGTAGAGACAAGATTCATGCTGTTTGTATTGAGGTGCCTGCTGTTGTGTGGGTTGTTGGTTTTTTTTGTAGCCCTCTTTTTGTAATTCATTTTGTATGTTAGTAATAAATGCTTCAGTAGCTAAAGTCTGTCTCCATTTCAGTGGTGTTTAAAACAAATGTAACTTGCTGTTCTGTGAATCCTTCAAACTGGGTCTAGCAGAAAGCAAGCTTGAAATGCAAATGAAGTAGACATGCATTAAAAAATGTATTTGTGTATGTATAGATAAGTAAGATATAGCTGCAGCATTTCCTCCTTCCCTTTGAGTTCCTGTGTATTCTTCCATTCAGTTTTAGCTTTGCTGCTGCTTTTTTGGTGCTCACTGTTGCCTGCCTTTAATGATGACCTAAGCTCTGAGCTGATTGATGTTCCAACATTGGGAAGGATATGGACAAAAAAAACCCTGTCTTGCCTTTGCAGTAGGTGTTCTGTGTGCCTGAGGCTGTCAGCTACCTGCTTTGGCTGCTGGCTCCCTATAAACAGTATGTACTCCTTTAGCTGCAAACACCAGTTTTAACCTGTTTATTTACCCTCCTTTGAACTTGAGTGACTAATGTACATTAACGCTGATCTACATGGATAGAATTTTTCCTTAGTAAATCCTGTGAACCCTTCCTCTGGAACAGTATTACAGTCAGTAAGAAATAAGCTTTCTTAAGTGTAGCCCTGTCCAGGTAAGTTTTGTGTCTGTTCTCAACACGTCCTGTGCGAATTTGAGTTGCAGTCATCTTGTTTGGAAGTGCTGGTCACCATTTTCAGAGAGGTCACCAGATAGTGTGAAGCAAAATGCAGTTCAAAGGGAGCTTGTCACCTAGTGATACAGTGCTACATGAAACAATACTTCCATCTGGTACAATGTGGGCACTAAAGCAAATTACATGTTGTCTAGCTGTCTTCTAATGTGAGAGGCCTTGCTTAGTTGTTGAGCCAGGGTTGGTCTAGAACTGTTAGGAAGACTGTTCTAAGCACAAAATTATAACAAGGGATTACAGATAAAGATTCTGTAACTTCTAGCTTTAAAAAAATGTGGTTTTTTGTAAGGGGGCTGTTTAATATGAAATAACATGAGATGATGAAAGATTCCTTTTCATGATGAGGACCTTTCCAGGACCTGAGTTAAGACTTGCGGAATTCTTTCAGCAATTCATTCTGTTTACTTTAAATATTTATTGAGTCCAGCTATAGACTATCCTTTATCTCCACTTACAATAAAATTTGTAGATTGCATCTATGGTTGTGGGGTGCTCAGGAACTCAATGGGACTAGGAACAGGTCTGGGAGCACCTGGCAGTTCAGAGAAGGGAATTCCCATTCCTACATGCATTTTAAAATCTGAAGGTTGTGGTCCTTTATTCTGAGGTGATCAATCAAATAAGATATTCAAACTGCACTGTCTTTTGAGGACAGAAATAAACAGTACCATCTAGTATTAATGTAAGAGCAATACATCTCTTTGTTCAGCTGTAAGTTGCACTACTGTTTCATAGTCTCTTAGATGGCTATCCAGCTGTACTGAATGTCGGCAGGAAGATGAGGTAGAGAGCAAGAAAAAATGTTACCAGCCTAGACCTTCAAATCATTTCTCCCTTACCATGCACTGTTGAGTGGCTCCTCTGTAGAAGTTACTTTGACTTCTGACAGTTGACCTACAACGGGTGGTTGCAGAGGAATGCCTGGTTAAATGCTTACCTAATGCTTGTACTAATAGCCTGTTACACCAAAATGCTGTATGCAGGTTCCTGTATCATGTTATTGTGGCGTGTGGTTGTTTTGTTGGATCCTGCCCCTCTCCCCCTCAAAAGTGTGTAAGTTTCTATCCACACCCCCAATAGAATTAGGAACCCTTCCTTGGAGGAAAAGAGGGCTGAGTAACAGCAAATCAGTATGTTCCTGGTTTATTATATTGAATAAAAGTATCTGGATTGAAATTATTAGACCCTCCTAATAAGGACAGCACTGAATTTTTAAACTGAATTGCAGCTGTAGCTTGAAATAAATTGGTATTTTTCTCTAGCATAGTTAAGTGTGACTGACTATTAAAATGCCCCCTGGAGGCAAGAATGATGAGACCTTCCAAAACCATCTTTTTTTTTGCCACAGTGGACTGATGTTGAAGTGTATGCTAGTAATGGCTGAAAACTCTCCAATAGAAGGAGGAAAACCTAAGATATTAGTAGAGCAGAACCTGTTAATAAATTTTTATTGCCATCTTGTTTATCTGTAATTGCACATATTGTGCAACTCAGCTATACTGCACAGAAACTTACTTGCTCTTAGTCCAAATCCACTTTTTAGACTATGGTTTGTGCTAGAAAGCTGTGAATTCTCTTAGGAACCTTTTTAAAAAGATAGACTAGATATGCTGAAAATGATAGGAAGTATGTATTTGCAGCAAAGCAGATAAAGTAGATGAAACAACAGTGTCAAAGGCTGCTAGTCACACAAAAGCTGGGATAGTAAAGGTTATAATACTAAAAAAGTAATAATCCCTGGTAAGGTTATTTAGGGTTTATTTACAATTCAGAAAATGATTGTTTCTCTTTAAGAGATCACTCAAAAATCATTCATGCTAGCTGACACTTCCTCTTTCCAGGCTCATTTAACAGACAACTACTATTCTATCATTGCCAATAAGACTTTCATAGCAAAGTTTTAAATATAAGCATTCATAAATAGCTCCATATGGTATAAAAGTTCTGCAAACATATTTATAGCAGCATACACATGGGTCAAACACAAATTACAAGGTTTGTATAAGGACTGGAGCTGCACAGATAGAGCTAACTTGTCTCAAGTGAAAGAAAGGTGGAAAGCTTTTGAAATCTCTCCCATTTCTTAAGATGCCTTTTTTTTGAAATAATCTTTTCCAAACTGCAACTTATAGTACAATTAATAGCAAGTAAAATAGGTTGAAGGATTTGGAAACAACTGATAATTTATTTTTATTTTTAAAAAAACCTACAAAAACTACCCCAAAAACTCAGCTACTAATTATAAAGAGATAATGGAACCTAATTTATTTTTAAAGCATCATCTGTTGGTAATTTCCATGATCAGAAAGTCTTACATGCAACAGCTTGCTGGAGGTATTGTGCACATTGTTTTGTTAAATATATTTATTTTCACACTAAGATGGAAATCTTATTTCTATTGGATGATACAGTCTCTGATGACTAAAAATAAGTGCTTGTTCTGAAAGTGCATAAAATAAGAAACATTTCTCAAATTGTTAGTGGTTCAATTCTGTAATTAAGCAAGAAGAAATTGATTAAAGTTAAGTTAGTATCAGCATTAACATTTGTATATGAAGACAGCAAAACACTGAAGTATGTTTTGCACTATTTCATGCAAGGATTTTGCAAGTCTTTTACTATTCTCTGTAAATGATCTAACTGCATCTTACAGAAAAATGGCATGAAAAAGAGTAATACCTGGCCTTATTCTTTGTTGCAAGAACTGACTTACTGCTTTGTTTCAACTTTCTATCAACTGTGAGAAGTGATATGGAAGTGAAGGTCCTTTACCTAATCAAGCCCACAATACCAGGGGCTTTGCATTGTTTTTGTTAGACTGGTGCAGATGTCAGAATATGCTATTCCACTACAATTTAGCATGTTCAAAACAGATAAATTTTACAAACATCAAGCTTGTTTTACTCTGATGCTGACAGATAAACTCCAATTTGAAATTCTCATGAATATTAACATATTACAAGTATGTTAAAGGAGTCAGCTGCTTATAATGTGCACACTGAGGAGATGAAGAAATCACAAACTTAAATTTGAGTAAAAACAACATGGATATAAGTAATAAAAGTGTCTTCAACCTAGGATATGTGAAAATTATCACTGGTCAGACACAGTTACTGAACAACTTCGTGTACCCTGCTTAGGGTAAATAGAGAATGAAACAACTTGTTTAAACCATCTGTTTGGGCACATTCTTAAATGAGTTTGCATATGGACTACTTGGCCTTAGACTTGTTAAGATATCCCCATTTGTACTGCAGAGTGAAATACAGGGTCATATACTGATAATGGGAAAACTTGTTGATTTCTCTAAGTGCAGTAGAGTTTTAGGTAAACTATCATATGCAAAAAGATGCAAGATAATTCTTCCTGGTACAAAGATGTGTTCCCCCCATTCCCAGTGCTTTTTGATTTTTTAGGAGACAAAGATGACTCATGTCATTTTGATCAAGCTTAGTTTCTTAAAGCAGTCTATGCATTTCACTGTATTCACACTAGTGCCTGGTAAGTGACATGCTTCTTAAATTCTGAAGCTCAATATTTTAATATTTTTAAGTTCCTGGTGCCCTATGGCTACCTACTCTAAGGAACTCAGTGATTCACGTTCAGTGCTTCAGTGTTATCTACAACCTGATAGCTGAAACAGTAAACCCTTTATCTTTTGAAATGTTCTTTGTTCTTCTGACATGTCTTCATAGCAGGCAAAGAAAGCATAGGTTTGTCTTGCATATTGTCTTTCATAGAAGTAAGTCATAAGCAAGATGTTTTGCAGTTAGGAAGTGGATTAAAACTGCTTCTTCAGTCAGCACTGAGCTTAAGTTACACAAATGCCTAGAAGCCTCTTCAAACTGCTGCTTCTTTGTACATGCAGAACCAAAGTCCTGCTAGCACGCAGCAATCATTATGTGCTGATACTCTGCCTGACTCCATCACCAACAGCAAAGCTAACCATGTATCAAAACTGTAGGTGTAAGTATTTTTCATTTGGGTCCAAAAACTTTTGCTTATGAGTAAATTGCTTAATTATATCCCATTTTTCAGAAATGCCTAAGTAATCTAAGTCCTACTAAGGGGACTTAAGGGTTGGGACTTAAGCTCCTAAGTGTCTTAGCCAACATTTTTAGAAGTGTAACATCCATGTGTCCAGTAATGTCTCTGGCAATTCCTGAAACCTGGTGCTGCTTAACAGTACAGAATACTATACATGCAGTTAAAAGAGGCCAAAGTGGGATTGTAATTCCAGATTATTGATGGTTTGATGTGGAGAGCAGGCAGAGCCATAGAGAGCAATCCATATCAAGCTCTTCAGGGCAGGTTCCTTTGTATAGTCCACTGCTTCCAAGGAAAGAAGAAAGGCAAAATAAGTTAAAAAAATATTCTTAATTTTCCAGTCACTGGTTTCACTAAACACACTCCACTAAATTAAGCTTTGTTCCATCTCTACTATGAAATCCTGTTTTCTAAGCAACTGATCAACGTTTTGCATAGTATTTGGTCTGTCTTAACGTCCTGTGTTTCATATGTGGCTGAGCATATTTCACTCTGTATTCAGTATTTTGGGTCTGATTTCTAGAGATGCTGAGCACCTTGTCTCCTGACTTCAGTGAGGAATATGCCACAAATTTGTTTAGTTTTACTTTTAAATTGATTGAAATTTTATTCCTATGCAGGTTCCAGATTTCACTATCACAGACCTGTCTTCAGAGTCAGATGATATCCCAGACATTCTGGATTTGGATGAAGATGACCAACAAGACTTTACACGCACAAATGGCCCTTACACTACAGGGCAAAGAGCTGACTAAAAAGAAGCATAAAACCGTCTTTTTGATACAATGTGCTTTTACCATGTTTAACTTAGATTTCTCCTTTTGAAAGATGAATCTGCCTAGTGTAGGGACTATGGGGATTTTTTAAAAAATCATTACTGTTTCACTTAACTACATCAAGATTCTGATTTTTTATTCTACTCAAGGAATGTATGCTACATTAATTCATTAGCACAAATGTCAAGCTCCTATTCTACAAGTCAGGTATAGCCTAACCAGTGTAGCCAGCTGATCTCATCTTTGTTAATGATTTGTTCTCTTGCTGGCAGCAGCCATGAGAACACTGCAGTGCTTTGCGTAAAGGGCTGCCAACAAAAGGAGTTGATGAGGATTTGACCACAGAATTCCCCTTTTCAGTCTACATGAAAAGCACCTCTGCTTCTACCTCTTTGCTGCTCAAAGGTGTAAAAGACTTTTGTCTCAGATGGTCTCAGGTTCTTTTTGTTAGGCTTTGCACCTACTGAGTTTAGAAGCACAGAGCTTCCCTTTGGTAGAGTGTTTTATGCACAGGACTTCCTTACTCTCTACATGCCTTCGGTTTCCAAAAATTTTGGTGATGCTGTCAGTTGTGGGGCCTGAGACTAGAACAAGGTAAATGCTTAAAAAGGAAAGTTTTTCAGGAATAAGGATGACAGTTGAAAGGGAAAGAGACCGTAAAAACCAAGGGAAAATGGAGGGCACAAAATAAAACTGTAAAAGAAAAGGAACTGAAGGTAGGGATACTTCTGGTGACAGTGATGATCTTTTAATGTTTAAATAAAATTTCAATCCACTACTTGCTAAAGAATGTTGAATCCACATTTGCTTGCACACGGTGACTTCTATAGGAGCTGAGGTGAACGGGAACTGGACTGGAATCAGGCTTGTTGCATTACTTTCGAGGATCAGGCAGACCTCCTCCCGCAGAGATTTCCTCGATGTTGCCGGTATGACTGCAGCAAGCCTGGAGATGTTGCCCTGCTGCGGAAACATTAGTCGGCCATCGGCACGGCTGTGAGACAGCACCTCTGCTCTCCTGTCCTGGATCACTTGGTTGTTGTGAAAAAACTTTTAAGTCTAGTCACTGAAATGCCTTGGAATAAAAGTTTGAACTACACAGCCTGCTGCCGGTGCGAGTTTTACTTGGTTTTCGCGCTGAATTTTGTAATCTGATCACAAAATAATTTAGATTGGAAGGGCCCTCTGGAGGCCGGCTAGTCCGACCGCTGCCCAAAGCGTGACGCCCTCTACGCTCAGCTCACGCTGCCCGGGGCCTCCCCGGGGCGGCCTCAGAG